AGCTTTTCAACATCTTTTAACTGTTGATTTTTATCGATGACAGCATTAAATATATCGATAAAAGATTTGAAATTGGTTAAATTTTTTCCATCAAAGGTAGGTATCTCGATTGGGGGCAATTTAGCAGCAGAAATAAAATTATTACTTTGAGTAGGTGGAATTGAAACCGATTGAGCAATATTAGTTGCTAAATTACTAGTATTAGCTGGTCCTGGTAAATTAGATTTAGGTAAACAATTTTTAATACTTACAATGACATCATAAAAAAGAGTTTCTACATCATCAATTGAATCATCATAGTTACCATCAAGGCACAGAATTTCAACTTGAATGTCTTTAAGCTTTTGAAAACTGTCCTGCAATATTTCCTTCCGAACTAAAAATTGGTCGGTTTTATACTCACTGTCAGGATCAGATTTGTGATCGGAAATATAACGACTTATTCTAACCATGGAGTCGATTGCTTGCTTTTTCTTTGACAATAATTTATCAATTTGCTTTTTGGTAGCCATATTTACAAAGTTTACAATCAAAAAAATAAGAAAATATCAAAAGAAATCTATAAACAAAATTTAAAATTACCTAATAAATTAGATGTTTTTTTTTTAAAAACTACTTAACAAAACGAAAAACGGATAATTGTTCATCCTTTAAATAAATAATGAAAAAATAGCAATAATTAATGCGAAAAATTCAGTTTTTCAAAAATAATGCAAATTCACTCAAATTCACTGCAAAAATCCAAAATACACAAACAACAAACAACAAAACGTAAACAAATGTTTGACATTTAATTTGAGGTTAAGCTGTCGGGGTGGTGAACTCTCACTTTCATGTTCGTTGCTCCGGGGCTGTACTTCATTGCACCAAGCAAGGATACTGCACCCGGGGTGACTTGGGTTGAACCAGACGAGAAAAAGAAGCACCCTTTTGAATTTGACAAGTGAAGTTTGTTTGCTCCGCCCCACTCTACTTACGCACTTCCGGTTCCGGCGGAAACCTTCGCTGGTGGCACGTGGAACCCAACGTTGTTTGAGACACGTGCAGACTGCACAGTGGATGATTGATTTTTTGCATCACATGGCGCCAAAAATCACGATGGAACAATCAATAACCACTAAAAAGGCACTTTTTGAGGGTTTTTAAAGCACTTTTAGGTTCCGAACTATCCAGTATCCGGCTCGAACTGGCCAAAATTATGTGCAAAACCACATAATGGAAGATAAATAACTTGATAATTAGTGGACTGTATAATTAGGTGGACTGGATGATCGACTGGATAGGGAACTAAAACACACGCGCTTTTCACTGACACTATATTTACAACAATTTACACAATATTTACACTATTTACAATTACTACTACAAGATGACAAGAAGCCAGAGCTTGCTTAGATGCCCAACAGGGCAGAGCTAGATTATAAAATTTATTAAAATGTGAAAAGGTTTCTGGATGCTTGTTAACGTGGACAAGCTCCAAGCTACACTGCTGCAATGACAAAAAATGGCGCGCAATATATATTGACAGACATGACAAAATAGACATGACGACAACGCTGCAGTGTTGCAAACTTTATATGTATAAAAATATTTTGCCATCAAAAAGAGATAGCATGATTGTTGGAACATGTTTCCAACACATTGGAAGTACTACAATAACCTACCAGTGTCCCTAAATATTTCTGTTTTACTTTCGTTTCCAAAAAAGAAGAAACTAACCAGCTCAATATATTTATATCCCGAAACGTTACCGAAAGCTTGATAGTTTCTTCTTTTTTGGTTCTGTCCTCTAACCCATGGAAATAAAACATATCTTTACAAGGACACGACATGATCGCACCTAAATATTTCCTCACACCATACTTCATTCAAGTTCATCCTCACTAAACTTCCTTTCATCTGGAAACTCTTCCAACATCCAAAACTTTTCGAGTTGCCCCTATATTTCCAAATTGGTGCTCAAATGACACATTTGTTTATTTCGCCTACCCTGAATTACAATGGGTCCCACAATAACCCAACCAATTTTCGTATTTTATCAATTGAAAGAAAACTGGCGGCAATTTGGAAGGTCTCTCATAAATTGAACTCACGTTTGTTTGAACATATGAATTAAAATCCGTACTATTTTCACTCAAACCTAAAATTGTGATGTTCATACGCTTTCTAGTAAGCCCCAATAAATTTTGTAATTCTAACTTCATAAAACTTGACTGAGACCCGAATCTAATAGCGCCCTAACCCTATGCATTTTTACGTTAAAATCAGAAATATCAAAAATTGCTGTAAATAAAACTTCCGAATTTTTAGGTTCACTTAAAAATAATGCCGAATTTGTATTTTTGCTCTCACCTACCAAATTGTCTTCATCATTATTCTTCTCTTGAGTATCGACATGTAATAATAATACATTATGTTTTTCATTACAATGTCGACATGCCCTATACTATACGTACAATTACTTACTCTGTGTCTTGGTTTTGAGCAATTCCAACACACTTTTGATTTTTCTACAGCTTCCCTCTTTCCCACTAAATTTAAGCCCAAAAATTTTTTACAGGAATATAATTGATGAAATTCATTGGATTAGCAAATAGAAAAGCACAGCCTATGTTTTCTACAAAAAATTACATAGATATGCCCTTTTTACTTGAAAATGTATGTGAACAATCTGTATTTCCTTTGGACCCCCTTTTTTCCTGCACTCGCAACGCAACAACTCTGTATTATTTTCTGGCTGAATTAATTTACACCTTTGCGATAGAAAATTCAAGAATTTGTCCATAGTCCATAGTAGGTAATTCGTTTATTTTTATTTCCCTTTTCCAAGCCCTTTGATTGTCTGGATCTAACTTCTTCTCTAAACTAAAGATCAGAGTTGTCTCCCAAGTATCTACGTTTTGCCCTAGAGCCTTCAAACCCCAAATATTTTTTTAAATTTCTTTGAAAACCTGGTCAACTGCTCGTGTGACTCGTTTTCGATTGATTGGAAATTAAGTAAAGCTTCTAAATAACTATAGATAATATTTTTTTGATTTTCATAAGAATCCTTTAAGAAGTTGCAAGCATTTGCATAATTGTTAGACATAATTTGCATATTGCTTAATAAAAGCGGGTATTATAAAACTATTTTGACAGAAAACTAAAAGTTAACTTCATGAATTTCATAGTAATATCTCTTAGATAATAATTCGTGTCTTCTCAAAAATTGTTATTGAATCTTGATTCTTCGGTTTAGGACGGAATAAAACTCTGGATTTCTCGCAACGTCCAAAGAAAGTTCCATAGGATCTCACCTGTCTTAGCTTAAACTCATTAACTACTGCCTGTGATACCACATTTAGTAACAAAGTTTTACAATTTTCAATAATATGAACAAGTTTGTTTATATTCCAGAAAGTTATGGATATTTCTTTGTTCAAAACAGCTTTCTGAAAATTAGTTATTAAATTTCTTACCTCGCTAACATATGGGTTCTCACCAATCAGTGACATGTATACACAATTAAAATTATTGATAATATGGGAAGGAAATACCGAATTTTGTCGACATTTTAATAAAAAATATTTCCTGTTATTCATTGATGCCAACTTGTCGACAAAATTCAGTATTTCCTTCCCATATTATTAATAATTTTAATTGTGTATACATATCACTGATTGGTGAGCATCCATATGTTAGCGAGCTAAGAAATTTAATAACTAATTATCAGAAAGCTGTTTTGAACAAAGAAATATCCATAACTTTCTGGAATATAAACAAACTTGTTCATATTATTGAAAATTGTAAAACTTTGTTACTAAATGTGGTATCACAGGCAGTGTAATGAGTCTGAGCTAAGACAGGTGAGATCCTATGAAACTTTGGACGTTGCGAGAAATCAAGAGTTTTATTCCATCCTAAACCGAAGTTAACTTCTAGTTTTCTGTCAAAATAGCTTTATAATAAATACCTACTCTAAATCCGGGACCTGACCAATCAAAGAATTGTTTAAATAGTGAAACTTTCGCAAAGTGTTTGTTATCATCAATCATAGAATTGACTCTTTAAAACCGAACCACTCTTTACACGACCCATCAAATTTGGGAATATCACTAGGGGTTAATTAAACTTTGCCACCAGTTGCCAAGCTACCTTGCCCTCCATTTGAATTTGAGAGCTGTGATTGGCCTTGAAGGTTCTTTTGCACTTCGTTCTCTAAAATTAACTGTGCTTTGGAAACTATATCGAAAAACTCGAATGACAACCTTTGTGCGTCTTGTCTCTTTAGATTCCCTGCATCCAACTCTTGAATGCAAAACTGAATGCTCTGAAAATCACTCCACCATTCGTCACATTTACAATCCAAAGCCTAGGAGCCGATCTCCAATTCCTTCAAATTTTCAGGTATTTTTATTCCAAAAAACAATTAGAAAATTGCCGTCAAAAGGCACCTACTGAATCCGGCTCGAAGGACCAATGATTTGTTTCCTCATTAGCCGTAGGTGTTTTTCCAAAATTAAAGCTGCTATTCGATAATTGAATGGACAATGTACTGTTTCTTCGAATTAAACATGACTTTTTTTTAATTTATAAATATATTATGACATTGACAAAAATCATTTCACATAGGTAATGAGATGCAACAGGTAATTTTCTTTCAAATCAACTGTAATCTCACCTTTGACTATACAGGGTGAGTTACGTATCCCCTGCATTAGCTTGCAGGTGGATTAGATGCTATCTCTACTAATCCATCTGCAAACTGATTAACTTCTAATGCACAGGCTACGTAAATCAGGTAGTATGCCCTAGCACCTATTACCCCCTAGTAAAGCCTTGTATGATTGTGTATTACCAAACCTAGGTCCGTCAAATAGTAAAAGCACAGCATGTAAAAGTAAAACAGTTTCTACTTGACACTCTTCATTAATTTTATGAGCAACTAATTTCGACTGGAACAAGCTCAGTTAATCCCATACATCTTTGGCCAATCACCTATATATTTATTTGTTATGTAGGTGCCTTGGATCCTTACAAGCACAAGATGCATCGAGGCGAAATCGACTACTTACCGCAAGCTCCCACCCTTATCCCCATGCCGGATAAAAATGCCACAGACGACAGCGATCTTACGTCAAGCGAAATGCTGGTGAATATGAGCTCTAGCACTCTGGAAGAATACTATCTAGCGATGGCAATAGCTACATTATTGAAAATTATTCGTGATCCAAATCTCAACAACTATCACACAATGGTAGTGCAGGCAATCACTTTTACGTTTAAAAGGCTAGGAGTAAAATGTGTTCCGTATATACCCCAAGTCATCCCGAGTTTGTTGAACGTTGTACGAACTGGAGACCTTACTTTCAGGGAGTTTTTGTTTCAACAATTGGCCGAACTTATAGCCATTGTCAAACATCATATTGGCACTTATCTGGAGGGTATATGCGATTTGATTAAAGAATATTGGACGCCAAATTGCGCCATTCAAGGAACAATAATTTTGCTTTTGGAAAGTATTGCTGAAGCCCTTGGAGCGGAATTTAAAGTGTACTTGCCTCAATTGATACCTCAAATTTTGAGGGTTTTGAATCACGATAGTTCAAAAGATAAGCAGCACACCATCAAACTGCTTAAAGCTTTGCACAGGTTCGGAAACAATTTGGATGACTATATGCATTTGATTTTGCCGCCAATAGTTAGACTAATTGATGCTTCCGATTCTCCCACAGCTGTGTCCAGACAAGCACTGGAAACTATTTCTCAAATAGCTGAACTAATTGATTTGTCAGATTACACATCCCGGATAACGCACCCACTGGTTAGGACAATAGATAAAAGTCCTGAATTACGGGATGCCGCTATGGGTACACTTTACGCGCTTGTATCTCAACTTGGAAGAGAATTCCGTGTTTTCATACCAATGGTTAATAAAGTCTATACAAAGCATAAGATTGTCAACAGAAAATGGGAAATACTTGTATTTACTATAGAAGAAGAATCCACAATGGCAGATCCAAGTGATTCGATCTTACAAAAAAATAGAGCTAGACTAAATAGATCGCAGGGAATGTCTAGCGAACCATCTACAATGTCTCAGCGATTAAAAGTGACAGAGAAAAATCTGCAAGAAGCATGGGTGCCGGTTAGGAGGGTTTCAAAGGATGACTGGTCAGAATGGCTGAGGGGGCTGAGCTTAGAGTTGCTAACACAATCTCCCATACCTGCCCTGAGATCGTGCTTACCCTTAGCTCAAACATACTCTCAGTTACCCCGTGATCTTTTCAATGCGGCATTCGTCAGCTGCTGGACAGAACTCAGTGAACAGATGCAAAAAGAACTGATCGACTGTTTGCAGCAAGCACTCACAGTACCAGATTTACCAGAAATCACACAAAGCATACTTAACTTAGCTGAGTTTATGGAACATTGTGACAAAGGACCGTTGCCTTTAGATGGCCATTTGCTTGGAGAACAGGCCATGCATTCCAGGGCTTACGCAAAAGCTTTGCATTATAAAGAAGATGAATTTCTTCGCGGTGGCAACAAAGATCAACACGTAATAGAAGCTTTAATTTCAATTAATAATAAGTTGCAACAAAAAGAGGCTGCCGAAGGATTGTTGCAGTACGTTATGAGGCAAGGCAATGAAGTACAAGTGCAAGTGCGTTGGTATGAAAAACTTCACAATTGGGAGAAAGCTTTGGGTTTATATGAAGAAAAACTCGTAAAAGAACCAACTGACCAGGAAGCCTGTCTTGGTCAAATGAGGTGCCTGGAAGCTCTAGGAGAATGGGGACATTTACATGGTTCAGTTGAAAATAACTTTTCAATATTGAGTGAGGACAACAAACAAAAAGCGGGCCGTTTAGCGCTCGCCTCTGCCTTCGGTTTACACAACTATCAATCTATGGAGAGATATGTGAAAATTATACCTCAAGACACACAAGACGGTGCATTTTATAGAGCCATTTTAGCCATCCACAAGGAACATTATAAGTCTGCTCAGGAATTTATTGATATTGCTAGAGATCTGATTGACACTGAATTAACTGCTATGGTTGGCGAAAGTTATCAGAGAGCTTATGGCGCCATGGTACATGTGCAAATGTTAAGCGAACTAGAAGAAGTGATGCAATATAAACTGGTTCCCGAAAGACGAGAACCCCTCAAACAAATGTGGTGGCAACGATTACAAGCAGGCCAAAGAATAATGGAAGACTGGCAGAAAATAATTCAGGTCCACTCGTTGGTTTTGCAGCCTCACGAAGACGTAAAGGCGTGGCTCAAATATGCCTCGCTGTGCAGAAAAAATGGTTCCTTGAAGCTTTCAAATAAAACACTTGTGATGTTGTTAGGCTACGATCCACAAATCACTCCAGAAAAAGCTTTACCGATTTCCCAACCACAAGTTACCTTTGCCTATTGTAAATATTTGTGGCAAATGGACCAAAGGGACAGGGCGTATGATAAGTTACAAACGTTTTTGAACTCTTATGTTCAAGTGGAAGGCATTGATAGCAGTTTGGAGGACAGACAACGACTTTTAGCTAGGTAAGAACATTGAAAGAAATTATAAAGTGTATTTGAGTCAATATCAGCGTTTTTCGTCATCGTCTCAGTGTAAATAGGGGTTGGTTTTCTGTAGTCATTATTATTAAGAGTGTACTGTAAATATAATATGTTTCTGATATAGGTATTATGAATAAACCCAGGACGGTAATTTGATATTGACTTATAATTTTATTCATAAAAAGACCATATGCATACATTAAATTGTTATTAAATATTTTTTTTTTTGTGCTAACAGGTGTTACCTAAAATTGGGGAATTGGCAAGAAAACTTAGAAGGCATCAACGCAACTTCTGTACGCTCGGTTCTGAAACGTTACGAAAAAGCTACTGAATTTGACAATGACTGGTACAAGGCCTGGCACGCTTGGGCTTATATCAACTTCGAAACTGTTCTCTTGTATAAAAATATGCAAGAGAAGGAAAATGAAAATCCAATCGCTAGTAAAGAAGCAAGGGCCAGTCAAGAACTCGAGATTATTGAACACACCGTGTTGGCTGTTAGAGGATTCTTCAAGTAAGTTTTTATTTTGAGATGCTTTAGTCTGAATACTTGGACCTTAAGCTATGATGTGTGAGATATATAATGTATTGTTAAGTGTGATGAGTTTTGTACGTTTTTCCTGAAAAATAGGGAAATAAAATGTTTATGCCTCAGACTAACCCAACTAGGTCTGGAGCTTTTTCCTATTCTACTACATTGGTAATTTCAAAAATGAAATGATAGATCAATGGCAATAGACAAATATTTTTCACAAATATTTTTTTTTCTAATTTTGTATATTATGACCTGATTAAAATTCGAGTCAAAAACATAAAAAATGTCCCTTCTATATTTATTTCTAAATATTCATTTAACCCGGCATTACACGCGTCAAAAAACTTACGTCATTCATTACACGCGTTCGGTCGAATGGACCGACTGCCCAAAAGTATATATGAATTATTAGCTTTTTTCGTGGAGACGATCCCAAACGTATTGAACGCTAAGGCATGACCTACGCAGGTTTACTAATCAATAGAGACATGAAACTTTCAAATATTACCTGCGTAAGTCATACCTTAGCGTTCAGGATACGTTCGGGATCGTTCCCGCGAAAAAAGTGTGCAAGCACTATAATAATAGGCTACTTGCATCAAATTTTTTTATTGCTGATTTCGATAGTCCATAAAAAATAAGTCAACACGTGTTTTTTCTTTTTCTTCTTAGTCAAAAATTGACGGAGATACAACACTATGAAATCTGCCTATGACGTCACTTATCTAATAAATAAGTGACGTTGCACATGCTCAGTATATCTATATATACAAAACTTAATATTTGAATAACTTCCAGAATAATCATATTTGGACGAAATAAAAAAAAAGTAACGATTTTTTTTCGATTTCCTAGGATTTGCAATAAACAATAATCAATTTAATTTTCCATGCAAGTACCCTATTCCTAGAATTCATAATCATTACAAAGAGAATTATATTATGCAGTTCATTTACCGTATTATCGACAGCCAAAAGTACTCCCAGTCCCAATATCAGAAAATGCCAATTTTGAACACAAATATTATAGATACTCAGGTTCACGTGCCTAGTCAAAAGCACCGACTATGAAAACAACAAACTATACTTCAACAAAAAACCAAAATATTTTTGGGCCAATGGGTAGTGGAAAACCTGCATCAGGCATTCCTGGATGGACAAAACTGCCACCCTTGTACCAATGGCGTAATTACTGATTTTATCAATGGTCGGTGTTTTCGACCGACACGCGTGTACTCCTGGGTAAATAGATCAATCTCGTATTATCTGGACTGCGCGCGTCGCTTGTAGGCTGCAGGTGAGTGTCCAATAAGAAGCAAGTTTGCTACAGTCTTGCGTCATATTCTTATTCAGGGACCAGTTCAGAATGAATCGTTCCTTCTTTCTTTGTAACGTGTAATTCGACAAAAAGCAAACTAATACTTTACATATTACTTGAACTCACCGCAGTGTCGTGTAAGGTTATGTTAGACCACCACCACTTTAAAGCTCTTCTTTTGTCTGATTTAAGGCGTTGTAAAACACTTGACACTATATCACTTCTTTAATGTTATAATGTTCGATTTGTATTGTCTACATTTGTTCTGCAACAAAACATTTTGGCTAGTTTAGCCCCAAAAATACCACAGATTCTATTCCTGTATTTTTTACAACTAATGGTGAAATTTACTTTAGAATACTGCTTCACTGCTGCTAGCACAGATTTCCAAAACATTTCATTTGTACTGTATTTCTGATTTGATTGATTGATGTAAATGTTAGAAGCCTAAATGCAAATTTTGAGAGCCTGGAAGTCTATGTTAATAGCCTGGATATTAAACCAGAAGTGATCACTTGTTCTGAAGCTTGGAATATTTTTTATGTGCAGTATTTTGGTTTAAGTAACTATAAAGTATATTACAATAATAGTCTAATAAACATGGCTGATGGTGTGGTTGTGTATATGAAATACAATTTAGTAGAGCACACAGAAGTGGAGGATTTTGATCAGCTGGGCATTTTAAGTTCCACCATTACTCTGTGTGACAGAACTTCAATAAAAATATCGACAGTATACGGATGTCATGATTGTTGAGACACGAGCTAGTACCAACATACCGCTTTTCCGGTTAAAGCACTAATTGAAGCATGCTTTCGGACATTGCGAATAATTGAACTTGAAAAAGACTGTAAATCACACCGTAGTATATTGAATATTTAATTGTATAGGTAAAAGAAAAAGTTAAGCTGACGTAGCTTCAAAGCTGGAGCCCGTGAACGTAGAAAAATGAAAAAAATGAAGCTTCAAAGACAAAAGGCATAACCTCTCTAGCTTTTGAATCTCTAAGCAACTATTCAACAAAATTTTAATTGTTTTTTCTGGTCCGACTTCTACTGCCGTTGTTCCGCGATGAGTTCGCGCTGATTCCGGAACGCATTATCACGCTCAGTTCCTTCAAGACATGACAGCTCAATCAAAAATAATTATTTGGAAAGAAATGAAAATCAATTCAAAATTACTTTGAAATTCGTTCCAACAATGATTTTGATAAACATTCTTTTGTGGATGCATTGAAAGGCTTTATTTCAATGGAGTCACTAGGCCTTTTAAAGCTAATAACAGTAAGGGTTCTTGTATTGATAATGTTTCATGAAGATTGAGGTTTTGAATATTCAGTAATTTAAGGTTACTAATGTTTTTAACGATCATTATCGACTGTTTATACAAATTGAAAACAAAGCAAGTAAAACAACTAAAGACAGTTTAAACCTCAGAGTAATACTACATAAATAGAGAGGGCAAGTCATTCATAAAATCGTTTGGTTTCTGCGGCCAACAATCCTAAACGACAATAGTGGATTAATGGATGAACTACATGGAGTGGGGATAAGATTGCGGACAATGCGGGCCAATCACAAACAAAACCCGTTTGACATTTCTTACTATGAATACTACAGCGCATTCGCGATAATGGTCGGGCTTGCTCCGGCAATACTTGCATCCTTCTTTATCTTGTTATCTTAACAAAGATAAAACGATTCAGGTGGGCGTTCCTAGACGAATACAACCAGGTTCCCAGATTTTAGGCAGTGTTGCCATTTTCAGCTAGCACAAAATCTTATTCAAATTTTATTGTGATAATAGATTATTATTTTATATAATAATTATTCCGCAACTTAGGCCAATTTATAAATATGGCACATCTGCAGTAAGTGTCCGCAAGTGATCTTAGAATAGGAGTCAATGTTTGAGGCATCTTTTAATCATAATAAACCTATCTATTTCATGTGTTAATCTGAGGTTTAAACTCTTTTTTAAATTATAAGAAACTAATAACTAATTAAAATGGTTTGCCGTTAATAAATAAATAAATAATAAAAAAAGAAGCTAGTAAAATCAATTGGGAAGTCATACTTAACATGCAAGAACCATAGTGCTATTGAAAAACTGGTAGATCTAATAAAAATAATATGTTCAGAAGTTTACCGGTTGTAGTAATATACAGTGAGCACGTAATGGTTGGAATAAAATCTATAAAATATACAGGGTGGATATTTTTGAAAAAACGTCAATTTTTGATTTTAGTGGCCGTTTTTCTGATGATAGCAAGTTATGACAGCTAACTTTATTTTTTTAAATAAAAACACCAATTTTTTATTTCATTTTCAAATTCTAATTTAAATTCTGAATCTATTTCATGTATCATGTCCTATACCTATCTTCAACTGTTTCAGAAATATTGACAGTTGAAAATTGACTTTTTTGCAACTTTGATAGGCTGTAGAACCTAAACGGTTAATTTTAGGGGAAAACCGATTTTGCATTCCTATCTCAGATTTTTATAAACTATCATCTGATACCAACTTTGAATTTAATCCATGATTAAATTAAATATCTATACCATTTCCAGCATTATTCCACACTAGTGAAATTTGATTTCAAATTAATGAAAACTAAATTCACATCAGTGAAATCTAATTTCGCTCAAATGAAAATTGATTTCAAAGTAACGAATACTAATTTCTCACAAACGAAATTTGATTTCACATTTTTGAAAATGAATTTCAAACTGATCCTAATTAATACTAATTGTTCAAACATTTATTATTTTAATTTGAAAAAACATCAACAACGTTATTTATTTCGACCTAATGAAATAAACCCACTGAGTTTAGATAACATTAAATACAATCATGAAAAAACAGTTATAATTATGAATTATTTAAATAAATTAAGCTTCAGTTTGGCAAATCACGTGGAAAGGTATAATGCAGCTATCTCAAGAGTGAGAAGACTCAACTGAAGTTCAATTTATTTAAATAATTTATATTTATTATTGTTGTCTCATGATTGTATTTTATGTTATGTGAAGTCAGTGGGTTTATTTCATTAGGGTGAAATAATAGTTATTTATTATACAAGACGGTAAAAAGATGCTTTACCTGTGAGTGGAAAATGTTGATACACGAGCGACGAAGGAGCGAGTGGAATAATTCCACGAACAGGTAAAGCTTTTTCACCGTCGTGTGTAATATTCTATTTTTTTTACGACTAACCTGAGAAATAGACATTATTCAATCTATTTTTCTAAGAAAAAATTGAATTTCTCTCCCTAGGTTAATAATGAAAATAATGAAAAAATACCTAGGTCAATAATGAAAATGACGTCATGACGCAAGGATATTGTCATGTTTCTATTGGATCAATTTCAATTTCATACGTCAATTTGAAAAAAAATACAGGTTTCTGTAGGTACATAGGAAGTTATATAAGCTGTTGATAGAGGGCAGCACTTTCAAGAGGGCGTTCAAAAAAAATAATTGGAGCACAGATTTTAAACAAATTTTTTATTTTCTACTAGCAGTAGTAAAAAAAATTCTATATATTCCTCGGTAGAGAAAGTCATTATATACCTCACTCATTATAAACCTCGGCGCGAGCGCCTCGGTTTATAAAAGCTTTCGGTATATAATGACCAACTTCTCTACCTAGGTATATAATATACTATTATTCTTGAGCCACTTTTTATTTATCACAATTACTAAAATCATAAACTAAAATGTGCTAAATTTTACATAGATTATGACAAATTCACAAAGTACCTAATAAACTGACACATTTCTGGTGTTGTCAATAATGCATCATATCACATTTCTATCAAAAACACTATAATTATTATAAAAGATTTGAACAAGTGGGTAAAATTGACGTATGAGTGGGTAAAATTGACAAATGAGTGGGTAAAAATTGTTCGATTTCACTACTTCAAATAAAGTGTTACTTTAACAACGAGTTTTGAGTCGATTAAATGATAGTTTACCATTCGCGATAGAATAAATAACATTTTTCTAATTTTGACATTTAAAGTGACACTTTTCAAAACTCGTTGACGTTATCAAATGCCTTACTTTTCATCACCAGTTACGAAAAGTAAAATTTTTCGCAACTGATGATGAAAAGTAAATTTCACCATTAGTTGCACAAAATACAGGAAGAAAATCCGTGATACTTTTGGGGCTGAACTACTCTGAGTACTTTGTTGTTATTATATTCTTTGTACGGACATATTAGAAAGGTTTAATTTTATTCAAATTAGTAACATAATATGACAATGTATGAATAAAAAGAAATAATTATTTATAAATATCAATACTTAACACAATTTGAACAATTATTGATGATATTGACAACATAGTTTTCTGTGTAGCATTAATTAAATGAATAAATTGAATGTTTTTTTCATGGAGTCTCTCCAAGGATATTGGTGATTATTCCACTAATGTGTTAGAAATCCCATAAGACAAGTGACGTTTTTCAGAATTACAGCGAAAATTCTCTTTTCCATTTGTTTAACTAGAGAGAATTACAGCGATTATTCAACTCACTGTACATTATTTCCATATGACACGAGAGGCTTAATAAGTGATAAGCCTTACGGGATTATCGCGCTTGGTAGCAATTTGTTATTAATAATAATAAAAATTAATAAAGTATTAAAGTTTTGTTCGATGTATAACCGTTTGAATACTACTCGATGTTTCAGGATTACCTAATACTTTTACCTGACACTCAACGCGTTACCAGCAATACCACTCCTCCTTCGGAGTCGTGGTGTTGCTGGGTAACGCGTTTCGTGACAGGTAAAAGTATTATCTGGTAATCCTGAAACCTCTTGTGATATTAGATTCGATAATTCTCCCATGTTATTGTATACATGGTTGTCATGCTAAGTTTTTAAACAAACAAACGGTTCCGGATAGCAACCATTTATTTGTATTGATTGTTAAGATGTTCAAATCGTTTAATACATATTTATTTCCATATTTTTTGCATTTTCATACGTGAAATAATCCTCTAAATACCACTTGAGCTTTAAAATGAACCAGATAATTTTTCACTCATGCGTATTTTCTCTGCAAATTTCACTCGTCCTACGGACTCGTGCAATTATAGAAAACACGCAATCGTGAAAAGTTATCGGTAATTTTGAAGCTCTTGTGGTATTATCCCCGACAATTTTCTTTTTTTTAGTTATGAAATTTTCACACATAGCCCTTAGCGGCTGTATTAGACCTCCACCCCCCAAGCTATTTAATTCTTAGCAAATCATCCACAGAATCTACAAGCAGAGTAGGTAGTGGATGATCGCCGAAAGCAATGACCGGTTTGAGTTGCCAAACTTGACAATAAACAATACTGGCTTTCATGGTAACGGAATAGGAAACATAGCTGTACTTACATCTTTGATGTTTTTGACTCGAATTTGAATGGATCAGATCATAATATACAAAATTAGAAAAAATATTGTGTGAAACACGTTGGAAAACACTATTTTTCGTAACTCGCTTTCTCTTCACCCAAAAAAATGAAGTATTGTAGATATACCCTTGATAAGAGAATCACAGAAACACATCTACCTTGGCTATTGGGTGTTATATCGTCCATGGGAAACTGCACATAATTTTGTAGCTCTATACCTATACCTATATGTAATTTTTTTGCGAAAATTCATCAAGCAAATCCAAACTTCTAGTTTGTTGCCAACACAACTTAAAACAGGGTTGATTCAGAAGCTCACATACACCCATGCGTGCTTAACCGGTAGAGCAATATCTTGAGTATTCTTGAGTACCACGTACACACGTATTTGCTTTGACGCCTATACGTAATAAAGTATTTAAAGCCTTTTGCATATACGCCCTAAATTCGTTTTGAATTTGTGAAACTACTAGAGTAGATAGAGTTTAGCCACTTCGTCAGATAAAAAGCCAGCCTTGGGTTACTCCAAAACCGGCATAACTGAATTTTACACATTTTTATTAGATATGCCTAAACGTGATAAAGGGGATGATACGTAGAGCTATTCTACCTACTCTCCACCCCAGGTGAGAATTATTTAAAACAAAGTTTAAAATTTTGAAAGTTCAAAATCTAGATTTGGTATAGATGATTTATTAATAGAATCAGAACCTCTGAATCTACTTTGAAGTAATCAACGTGGATGAAGTTTTTGAAGTTTCTCCAAATCATTCTCATATTTATTAAAGTAAGGCGATGAGACACATGTTAGATTCCAGCTGGATACGAACCCATGAGAAGAACAAAACGTTAACTGTATTGATATTGCAAAAGTCCTCACTGCCTCTTAATAATCCAAATACCCTGTAAGCCCTATTACCGAGGGGTCAACCACTATGCTTACAAATGTACAATGATTTCCATATTTAGGAATCAGTGATCAATGAATCTCATGCGTTCCCATCCCAAGAATTGCCACTGATTGCCAATGATTTTCAGGTATTTTTGTATGATTACCAGGTGATTTCCATTTTTTTCTGGGGATTCCTTTATGCAATTGATTACCTGATTTCCTCGATGATTTCCTACAATCATCCGATTTTCAGCTGATTTTATTATGAAAACAATGTCTAATTGTTAAGCTTCGCATCAATATGACCAAAATAAACAGTATTTTCTCATAAAAATACGTTTCCACTGAAAAATTGGCAACTTCTGTATTTGCAACTCTTTCCAGACGTTAGCCACTTTTATTTTTATGGTTGTCCACACCCACACAGATTTTGTTTGTAGGTATAAATAGTTGTTGAACCCTAGATACCATTGCGTGTCTACACTGCATAATATGGATCTTAAATAATGGATATTTCTTTGATTTCACTAGGACGTTCATCTGAATCAGACACACCTTCAGTTAGCGTTTTACTCGAAAAACCTATTTCTGATTCTGATTGAGATGTGCTATCGTTTCTATTTCTTGTCCTGCCTAGTATTTATTCTACTTTCCCTGATTCCCAATAAAATGTACAATGATTTCCAATAGTGGTTTACCCCTCGCCTATTACATATTTACATCCTTTTAAAATTAAAATGTAAGAGGGTGCATTTTTGCTTAATTTAGATTTTGCAAGTTGATTTTCATTAATTTCCCATTTTGTTATTTTTCACTGGAAAAGTTTGAAATTTTTGTATAATGAGCTCCTAAATTTCCTCTTTTTTTCCTGAAAGTTTCACAATTTTCCTTTCAGTAGTTTTCCAGAAAAAAATTAAAATGTAGGAGCGAGGGGTAAACACCAATGTATTCCAATATATAAGCCTCATGTAATCCAATGTATTCTTATGTATGTCCTATGTATTCAAATGTATTCCTTTGTATTATCATGTATTCCTTTGTACCGGGTTATTCACTATATTTTGACCCTCTACCTGCAGCCTTTACCTTTACAGGTAGATGATAGGTGTAAATACAAAAGTTGTGCAGTTTTAGCTAAATTTATAGAATCCATCGTCAGAAACAAAAAATTATTCAGAAATTTGAAATTTTGCGTACTTTCAACTTTTTTCAAATAGAATGCCCTATATTTGGTTCTATCTTCTTGAAGAGCACAATTTTCTGATTCCAGAAATATATAGTTTGTCTATATTTGGTTAAGCCGTCTCATATATTTGGCTCTAAAAATTGTAAAAATACTATTCTACTGACTTAGATTTTGTGAACCATTCTACCTGTAAAGGTGAAAGCTGCTGGTAAAATTTAAGGCACTTGGATCCTCTGATTGTATTTTTAAAATTTTTAGAGCCAAATATGTTGGAGACGGCTCAGCCAAATATAGACAAACCATATATTTTTGGAATCGGAACATTGTGCTCTTCAAGAATACAGAATCAAATATAGGGCATTCCATTTGAAAAAAGTTGAAAGTACGTAAACTTTCAAATTTCTGACAATAATTTTTTGTTTCTGACGATAGATTCTAAAAATTTAGCTAAAACTGCACAACTTTTGTATGTACATCTATTATCTACCTGTAAAGGTAAAGGCTGCAGGGGAGGGTCAAAATATTGAAATTCTAGTATGATGACTCCTAACTTGCCTCTTTTTCTCCTGAAAGTTTCATAATTTTCCGTTCAGTAGTTTTGCAGATTAAAAAAATAAAATGTAAAGTGGTAAACCGCCAATGTATTCCAGTGTACAAGCCTCATGTAATTGTATTTTTTCATGTAATCCAATGCTATGTATTCTCTCTCATATATTCTTATGTATTTAGTTCATGTTGCACCAAGTCCCTGTTAAAAATCTTAAAAACGTCCGCAAAAAGCAGTAGCTCACAGTGGTCAAAACAATCAAAAGTATTGATAAACAGATGCGGGTAACTAAAAAAGGATCACAGTGACATTTGTTAATTTTGATAATTTGACTTCTTAAAGATAAATATGATCTCATCCATTCTAAAAGCTGGCCACCAATACGATATAATGATAGCTTCCTGAGAGGATATCGTGATCAATAAATACATAAATATATAAAAGTACAGAATTATAAATCGTATAGCTCATTTCTAAAGGTTCAAGTGCTCAGACATTTAGGCAATATTTTTTTTCCACTTTACCTGACTGTATGCCTTATATATTTTTAGGTCAATTTATCTATCAAAAGGCAGCTCCCTTCAAGACACTCTACGTTTACTAACGCTTTGGTTCGATTATGGCACGTCTCCTCAAGTTTCCGAAGCCATCACAGACGGCATCAGAATCGTCGACAAAAATACATGGCTACAAGTGATACCCCAACTGATTGCACGTATCGATACCAATAGATTACTGGTATCCAAGAATATCCACCATCTGTTAGTCGATATTGGCAAGATACATCCGCAGGCTTTAGTGTATCCATTAACAGTGGCTTCGAAAAGTAATTCGCCGATCAGAAGAAGCGCCGCTAACAAAATCTTGAAATCGATGAGCGAACATTCGCCGACGTTGGTCATGCAAGCTCTTATGGCCTCAGAGGAACTCATCAGAGTGGCAATTTTGTGGCATGAAATTTGGCACGAAGGCTTAGAGGAGGCTTCAAGACTTTTCTTTGGCGAAAGGAACGTGGAAGGCATGTTACGAATTTTGGAACCTTTGCATCAGATGATGCAAAGAGGCCCACAAACGTTAAAAGAAACGAGTTTCACACAAGCTTATGGCAGAGACTTGTCTGAAGCTCATGAGTGGTGCCAGAGATATAGATTATCAGGCAATATTAGAGACCTGAACCAAGCTTGGGATTTATATTATCACGTGTTTAGGAGAATATCTCGCCAACTACCACAACTGACTTCCTTAGAGTTGCACTATGTGTCACCTAATTTGTTAAAATGCCAAGATTTGGAACTTGCTGTACCTGGCAGCTACGCCCCTGGACAACCTATTGTTAGGATAGCATATTTTCAACGATCTCTAGAAGTGATTACTTCGAAACAACGCCCTCGTAAGTTGATAATCCGAGGTAGCAACGGTAAAGATTACATGTTCCTGCTAAAAGGCCACGAAGACCTTAGGCAAGACGAAAGAGTTATGCAATTGTTTGGGTTAGTGAACACACTATTGCAAAAAGATCCGGACACTTTCCGTAGAAATCTGACTATCCAAAGATATGTTGTGATACCGTTAAGTACAAAGAGCGGCCTGATTGGCTGGGTACCCCACTGTGATACTTTGCATACGCTTATACGAGATTATAGAGACAAAAAGAAAATTCTACTTAACATTGAGCATAGGATTATGTTAAGAATGGCACCTGACTATGATCATTTAACAGTCATGCAAAAGGTTGAAGTATTTGAACATGCTCTAGAACACACACACGGCGACGATTTGGCAAGGCTTTTGTGGCTGAAAAGTCCTTCATCGGAAGTTTGGTTTGAAAGAAGAACAAATTACACCAGATCATTAGCGGTTATGTCTATGGCAGGATACATTTTGGGTCTGGGCGATAGACATCCTTCCAATCTTATGTTGGATAGGCTGAGCGGCAAGATTCTTCACATCGATTTTGGAGATTGTTTCGAGGTTGCTATGGACAGGGAAAAGTTCCCAGAAAAAATACCTTTCAGACTGACTCGGATGCTGATCAATGCTATGGAAGTGACTGGTATCGAAGGAACTTACAGGCGCACTTGCGAAAGTGTCATGTCAGTACTCCATAGAAATAAAGATAGCTTGATGGCTGTGCTAGAAGCGTTTGTTTACGATCCGTTGCTAAACTGGCGCTTGATCGAGAATAATTATAGAAATAGGTAAGTTTGGAGGCAAGAATGTTTTGGTTGAAAAATCACCTTTTTTGTGTTGAATTTGTTGACGCTTGGTGGACTTAGTCATGGGAAAAAAAGACTCTATCACTGTTGTGGTTACATAAAAAAAGTTTTCACCATTAAACTGATTTTCTTGCAGATCTAATACGGGCGAAGTGGGCAGTTTTCTCACCGAAACATCACAGGAAACTGAACTGTCGGAATCATTCAGCGTGCATAGGCGTTCTTTGCTAGCAGATTTGACACACGACAGTACTCAGCAACCCGAGCAAGTTAGCAAAAAGGCTGTGACAATTATTAACAGGTAATTCTTTTTTTGTAATTTTTGAAATTCTTATATTTAATTGCATTTATATAGGGTGAGAGACAAGTTAACTGGAAAAGATTTCCACACCGAAGAAATGCTGACCATTGAAAAACAAGTTGACTTATTGATCCAACAGGCCACCAACAACGAAAATCTTTGCCAGTGTTACATCGGCTGGTGTCCATTTTGGTAAAATGCTTCATTGTTTTTGCAATAATAAGGCTGACTTCTGTTGCGGATATAGAGAGATTGGGTATTTAACTCTCTAAATGTTTGCTAGTTTATGTAAGGAACATTTTATTTGTAATTATTTGTTTAGATGTATGTATAAATATGACTTAATTTTAAGACTGTATTTATTTTAAGTCTATTTTTGAGATTTGGGTTAGGGATTTTACAAGTTTGAATACTGTTATCCTAAGAGCCATATCAGTGACCCTCATACATACTGTATGTACTCAAAAGAGGCTTTAATTTTTTTTTAATATCGATGAAAAAATATTTATGTTATTTTATAAGTGAAATTACAAACTCGTTTTATTTTTCTCTTAAATCATGACCTAAAACAAATACACTTTTGCCATTTTACTCACTTATCAAATAAGCCATTCACTAATTTTAAATCTCAAATGACGTCATTTGCGTGTACGCAAAGTTGCATCAATTTCAAATAATGGCTCCCAGGCTGTGTGCCTGAAAATTACACTTGCTTAACTACGACTTGGGCACAGTATATTGAAGAAGTATTGAGAGACACCGTACACTGGTTGAATCTGATTTATGGAATTTGACACATCGTCTTATATTAAATCGATATTATTATTACGTGATATTTGATATAATTATTATACAGTGCAAGAACGCATATTTGTTCAAATCTTGATATTCCTTAAAATATTGTGTGCTTATAATCTATAAAAAAAAAACCATTTACAAATCCAAGCGGCAGCCATAGTTTGCTTGTTTGATATTATAATAATCTTGACCTTAGATTTAGTAAAGATTTAAATTTCAATGGAATTGAATTTTTATGTATAATTTGTAATTATACATTCTGCTGCCTCTCCAGAATAGAAGATATCAAAGACTGTAGTTCAAACTCATCTTTTTTGTCTTCGCATCTTCAGTTCTGTTCGGTTTTTTGGTGTTTCGGAATGAGTTTTATCGTATACCATGCTGCAATGCCAATGCTGATTATCCCAATGGTAGTGATGCTGCTAATGGCTACGGAATGATAATGAATATTCCGACATACTGTGCTGCCCAACTCTGGATTCAAATTCTTCTCGTCGTTTTCCAACTCTTTCAGGTTGTCAGTTAGTCTGAAAACTGACTCGAAGGGTAGATTCTGAGGGTGCTTCACACTGACTACTATTTATTACTATAGGGACTCTTTTGGAGTAGTTGCCCAGTACTGAAATGGTAGTGTTTCGTTAAGGAGTTGAAATATTCTGTTTTGTTTTGATGGTGCACTCCTGAGATATTTGAATAATGCATGTTATTGCAACATTTTCCCGCACACCGTCACAAATGACAGATATGGTTGTGAAGGAATCCGTAATGAACATCCATGTGTTGGGTGCGCAGAGCTCCTTCCATATGATGCTTTGAATATTGTTTATTTGAATCTTGCAATGCCTTGGTTTCAGTCGTTCATTTTCGTCAATGATGCATGACGAATTTGTCTCTATATTTCTGACTGAAACTGGAGAGCAAATAAAGTGGTGATCACATGACTGAATGCATTGCTGCAAATCGCATTTATTTATTTATTTATTTATTTATTGGCAATAGTAGTTACAAAGGAACAATAGAATAAATTTAATAGTTAATAATATTAACAGATTCAACTGACTTAACAACATTCTAGTAATTTAACTAATTTTAAAAAATTCCTCACTATTGCAATTAATAGCACACAATGGTATTTTAAATACTGTGAGTGTGCTTTTCTAACTTATTAATAATTATTCTTTTGAGGTAAGTAACAATTTTTATAATTAGCTATGTGTAATTAAATAAATATCTATGTTATAATATTATATTAGATAGTTTATATTAAAATTACTTTCAATTAACCACTCATTAACTGTTTTTTTTACTAAGTGATAAGGTTTTGATCTTATACTTACAGGCAAGTTATTGTAAATTTTAGGTCCTACACAATAAATGTGAGTTTGACACACAGCATGTCTAGGGTTTTGCAACATAACATTATTTTGCATTACACTTCTTGTATTAATATTATGATTTATAGCTTCTCGATATGTTGAGTTTTTTAGCATAAATCTAATAACGGATTTTAAAAAAAGTTGATTAGGAGTCAGCAAATAACTTTCATTATATAACAGGTACGTTGGGTATGTCCTATTTTTGAAAAGCATGATTTTTATAATCCATTTTTGAGCTATTTGTAGTTTATTCATTATAGTTACTCCAGCACTACCCCATACAATCAATCCATAGTTCATAATGGACTCTACTAGAGCATAGTAAACTGTTTTTAAGGTTTTTAAGGGCAAAATGTTTCTCAATTCATAGAATTTAAAAATAACTTTCCGAATTTTATCAGTTACCTGTTGAACTTGAACCTTCCAAGTAAAATTCTCATCTATTATAACTCCCAAATATTTTAAACTGTCCCTTCTCCCTATGGATTGATTGCAGTGACACCGGTTATCTTGTTTACATTGTGATTCATGTACTATAAGATTTTGATACTCGGGAAGTGACCACGAAGATAACGAAAAAGCAACAAATTTAGTCTTATCAACATTCAATGATAGCAAGGAAGTATCTAGCCAACATTTAATTTTAAAGAGTACCATTTCTGCTATTCTTTTTGTCTCTCCCCAATCATCCCCACAAATCACCACCCCCGTATCATCAGCAAAGCAAAAAACATTACACTCATCTGAAACCGAAAATATCTGATTTACATAAATATTGAAAAGTAAAGGCGACAATACAGTACCCTGTGGCAAGCCGATTCCTGCCTCTAGTCTGTCACTTTCTTCTCCTGTAATATTGACACTTTGTTTTCTTTTAGTCAAATATGACATAATTAAATTATTGGGGACACCTCGAATTCCAATATGTTCCAGACGTTTGTGCAGGATTCGGTGTGCCACAGTATCAAAGAGCTTTTGAAGGTCAAGAAACAGTCCAATTACTTTTTTCCTTGGTCTAAATTTTTCAAAATTGTTTCCGTCACCCTACACAATGCATTCTCGGTACTGACACCCTCCCTGAAAGCAAACTGACTATCGTTCAAAATTTTGTTTTTTTCTAAAAATTTAACTAACTTGCTCTTGAGACATTTTTCTATAATTTTACTAATTGTACTGGTTAGTGCTATTGGCCGATAGTTGTTCATCGATTTTCTGTCCCCTTGTTTATAAAGAGGAATAATAATAGTTGTTTTAAGGCATTCAGGAAACTTGCCAGCACCAAAAACAGCACCTATAACGTGACACAGTGGCTTTACTAAAATATCTTTATATTTTTTTACAATACTTGAACTGATTCTATCATCCCCCCCCTTTACCCCATCTTTTAAGTTATTTATTTGCCTTAAGACTTCTTTTTCAGAGACTGGGTCTAAACGAAAAGAATTTTCCAGTCTCTCCCCACTAACAACAGTGTCACCAGGTATAGAGCTGTTTGATTTTATAATGCTTTCCGCCAACTTCCTACCTATGTTCGTAAAATATTCATTAAAAGCATTTGCCATATCCTTTTTATCTGTAATTATTGTGTTATTAGACTTAACTATATTTTTTATTTCAGCCTGACAACTTTTATCACCTGTAGCCTCCCTTATCACCCCCCATAGTTTTTTTGGATCTTTTGCATATTTTTGAGCTTGTTCTTTATAATAGAAATATTTGGCATTTTTCACAAGCTTAGACAAAACAGTGCGGTACTTTTTATATCTGTTTAATAGAAAAATATTGTTCTGATTTAGAGTACATTGTTTTTTTAATTTGTCTCTGGTTCTGATAGACACTAGAAGGCCACAAGTGATCCAAGGCTTAATTCTTATTTTTTTGCTAGAAATTGCCTTATTTCTAGTGGCTATCGAAATTAATGAATTTAATTTACTGACAAAATTATGTGTACAAGAATCGCTATCCCAGTTATGAAATACACCATCCCATCCCTCTCTCTCCATCAACTTGGTAAGTTTATCATAGCAAACTATTTGATATATTTTTTCGTTTCTTGCAGGGATTGTTGTAACCATTATTGGTAAATTGAGAAGGATAGGATCATGATCCGTCAAGCTATGTTCAAGCACCATTGCTTTAATTTTTTCAAACAGGTCAACCTTACAGCGAACAAAAAAATGATCTAAACATGATTCAGAATTGCCAAACCTTCTCGTAGCTTTATTTATGACACTCACGAAACCATAACTTTGCATCAATGATAAATAGACACTTGATGAGGTCACTTCAGTTGTTAGCAGGTCAATGTTTATGTCCCCAGCAAAGATGTACACTTTATTTCGATCAAACACTATTCTTTCCAAAACTGCTTCCAAATTTTCCAGGAACTCCTCCTTACTGGTGAAAAAACATCTGTAAGTGGCAAGAATGACTATAGTTTGATGTTGTTTTTTTATAGAGACTTCCACAATTTTTAAAGTATTTTCTACAATCACTTGATTTTCCATAATATGTTTTTGTTTAGCATAAATAACGCAACCGTCACATTTATTTAGTGAGCTATTATTAAAATAAATATTGTACCCAGGTATACTTAAGTCATTCAAGTTATAAATGTAATGCGTTTCTGACATCACGATAATATCAAATTTATTTTTAGTTGACTCGACAAAAACCAGAAAGTCATCAAAGTTTTTATATATACTTCTTATGTTTATATGTATTATGCTGAAGTTTATGTTGTTATTCTCAAAAATTTGTACTTTTGATAGATTATCACAGACAATTGTTTCACAGGACTTATAATTCTCAATAATATCTAATAACTCATTGAATTTAAATACTGACTTTTTTTAAATTATATTATAGGAGTCATAACTTAGAAGTTATATGGACTCAATATCACTTTCGTGTCTAATTTTTATGGCAGGGTCATGATCATTTTTTTAAGGTAAATAACTCCATTCACACAAAATGCTGCTTTATACCCCTTGCTCTTCCTTGCATCTCTGACTTTTTTAAAAAGAGTTCTTTTGCTTATTGGTAAATCTTCGTTAAGGTAAATTTTTTTGTTATCGCCTCGTAAACCACATTTGTTAGTATCTATTCCTTTTAATATACGAATTTTCTTCAAGACCTCAACTTTGATATGTTCATTGCTGAATTTAACCAAGATTGGACCTTCATCATCATTTTTATTTAATTTGAAGCATTCTACAATCTCCTTATTATTTGTCTGAAGTTGTAATCCTTCCAGTATTTTCTCAGCAATTTTCCTGGCATTCTTGGAGTTCGAAGTATACTTCAGTGTTGTAATCAATCACAATATATCCATCTGAAAGACTCAAAAGGTACTGATGTGGCTCGTATCAACTCGAATTTAGTAAAATCTGCAATGGGGAAATATCCGAACTCCTGAATGTTTGTCTTATTGGCAGTCAACTTTGTCATTGTGATTGAGGATGCGACAATCTTCAGATTACTTGGAAACTTCTGACTGGTTTGTTCAATGATAGAGTGCACATACGCTGGTGGAATTAAATCGTTTATGGTTCCTCTGTTGAAATGTATATCTAGTAATTTATCGTAGTATTCGCCATAGTGCCACTTAATAGACTTGATAGAAGGTGGTTATTCAATGCATTGGTATCGATTTGTTGGGGAAGTCCGAGTTGGGTCCCAATTCTGGCAGGTATATTTAATTATGGTCCAGTTGGGTCCGGCCTAGGGCCTAATTGGGTCCACGATAATATCCAAATAATTGAATAAAACTGAATTTTAATAGGACAGTGTTGCCGATTTAAGATAGTTTCCTAGATTTCATGGTAGGTACTCCAAGTAATTAATTGGAGGTTCAAGAGGGTGGTATTACAGGTATATTTCCTATTGTTATAAGGTTGGTACCCCATGGTTATTAAGTTCACTCGCTAATTAAATTCGTTTGTTGTTAATTGAGCTGTTTAAACTGTTGTTAGTGAGAGTAGATAAGTTAGAAGAATGGAATGTACGCTACTTTCAAGTGAGAAAGGAAAATCGCTGTTACTGATTAACAGGTGCAAATTTGGCTTCCAAAAAGACTTGGAAGTTGGTGTAAAAAGGTGGATATGTACATGCAAAAAATCATTTTGCAAAGCCTTTGTGAAAACAACTGGGGAAAACCTCATAATCGAATCAACGTTGGAACATAATCATGAAAAACAACCAAATCATCTCTCAACTCGCCAAGTTTTGTCTCAATCCGTCAAGAGAGCACCTGTGGATAACCCTACGGAGAAACCCATGAAGCTGATACGTCAAGAATTATATAAATCCGATCTTGAATCAGTAACAACACATGACATTACCAGATCAAGAAAAAATGCTTATCACGCCAGAACATCGATTTTATGTAAACTTAACAAAAACGTCCAAGAGTTTCAAGAAGTGATAGAAGGCAACAGGGTAAAAACAAACCAAAATGAACATTTTCTTTTGCTAAACGACAAAGTTAATCATATTGTTATTTTTTCAACGAACACTAACATAAAATTTCTAACTGGTGTTCCAGATTGGTATGTTGATGGAACCTTTCAATATTGTCCAAAATGTTTTGTACAACTTTTCACAATTCACGGCTTAAAGAATGGCCATTATACCCCAGTAGTATCCCACTATATTTTGTTAGGAATTTAGAAGTGCGGCAACAAGGCTATTTTTCCCCATTTTTTTCTTAGAATCTAAGATATCTTCTTCGGTCCCAATTCGGCCCACACCTTTTTAAGGGCAGGTAAGTGGATAAGGTTTGGGACCCAACTCGGATGCGTCCGATTTGTTTGTACTAGCTTTGCATTTTGTTGATAACTTCAATTCCTTGATTAAATCTTTCTTGAAAATATTGTAGTTTAGTGTTTATTTTGGCTTCGGTGTCGTTGAACTTTGCCAGGGCTGAAATCATGAACTTGGTTTGATGACTGGATTCTTTGATTAAATGTTATTGATTTTCATTTAGTGCATCTATGTCTTGATATATTTCATTATTGACGCCAAAGACTGCGGTCAAAAATTTCCCAAATACTCCTCTTTTCCTTCTTTGGTTGATGGACGCTGTTGAGAGTGCCATATACCCACTTGGTGTGATTTTCCAATCGTTCTAAATGGTGTATTAATGATTCTAATTACGATTGACCTGTTACACAGTGTTTCAAACTGCTTGGCTTCTATTTTTGAATGTACTATTTCCATGCGAAAGATACCTCAATCGATTCTAGATGATTCGATAATGCTCTACTATATGTATATTCCATGTTGAGGGTAATTAATTTGGAATCTGCTTTTTGCTGTGATAGTGAAAATAAGCATAAGGAAGGCTAGTAGGAAATGTAGTAACTGTGATTTGGACGATGTCTGGGTTCTAGTTAGGTCACTTGTAGCTGAGTAGTTTGTAATTTTTGAAGCTGAGAGGCTCTCGTCTTTTTCTTTCGGAAGTGGAATTAGTTTATGAATTGAACTTTCCTTTCCTGGGTGGATTTCAGCGATTCGTGCCAGCGGCCCAATGGCAGAATTCACGTTTTCTTCTTTTAGTAGGACCATAGTGCCTATTCTTAAGTTTTCACTTTGGCTTTTCCATTTTGATCTTTGCTGTAGTCTTGCAAGGTATTCTGTACACCAAGCATGCCAGAGGTTTTTCTTAATTTGTTGGATGAGTCGCCAGGCGTTGATACACTGGTGTCGTCTGTATCTTCTACCAACGGACAAAGTAGCCTCGAGATCAAACAAGCTTCGATTTGGCATGTCAAAGTTGTGAGTTCCTCATATGTTAAGGTGCACTCTCCAATGACACACTTCATGTGGAATTCCATTGATTTGACCCCTGCTTCCCATATTCCTCCAAAATGTGGTGCGGCTGTGGGGATAAAGTGCCACTGGGTCATGGGTACCCATATTTATTATTGCGTTTTGTAATGTTGGTGTGTCGATTTTTACGTTGACTTCGTTTTCAAATTCAACATTTGCGCAATGGCCTCTTCTAGCGATTAATCTTCGGAATACCGCTAGGAATGCTTCAGACGTCATGTCACTGACAACTTCGAGGTGAATTGCTTTGGTGGATAGGCAGACGAAAACTGCTATACAGGTCTGGCAAGTCAGCATCTTGCAGACCAATTTTAATGCAATAGAATGAAATGTCTAGAAAAAGTCTAAGGTAAAATAGAGAACGAAAACAGTTTCCCGTGTTCCACCGCAAGCATGGAGCGCTGGGAATGCTGGAGGTGGAACAGAGAAAATCTTTTTCGTTCTCTATTTAACCTTAGACGTTTTCTAGGTATTTCATTTTATTGCATTAAAATTGGCCTGTAAGATGTTCATTTGCCAGACTGGTATAGCCTTTGTAGGATTTGTGTCCTCTTCCCTTAGGTGGCTCTAACTTGAATGGGCCCTGCATAGTCTACCCCCGAACTCATTAAAGGAGGTGCTGGCGTAACTCTAGCTTGCGGTAATTGTCCCATCAGTGGCTCTGCTGTTCTTGCTTTGTGTCGCATGCACATGATGCAGTTTTTTAACATCGCTTTCACTGCTGGCTTTCCATTAATGTCCTAGAATTTGCTTCTTACGTATGAGAATGTGGCTTGATTGCCTCCATGAAGAGTCTTCTTGTGGGCGTCTGCGATTACTAATTTGGCGACATGACTATGATATAGGGTATGATCATCGGATGTTTTTGATCGTAAGTTAGCGATGCATTTTCCAACCTTCCTCCGATACGAATTATGCCTTTATGGTCAAGTAACGGATTTAGAGACTTCAGCTTGCTTGCATTTCGTTTTAATGCCTCGTATTCCAGAGGAAACTCTTGCATCTGCACTAATTTTATGATTTTAGCGAAGGTTGCGTAGGTATATCCCTTCTACGGAGAAATATTGGATGTTCTTTTCTGTTTGCGAAGCGGTGGCAGTAGGATAGTACTCGTTTTTTGGTTTGAAGAGCAGAAACGGGATTTAAATCAGGAAATTGAGCAGACCAGTCTAAAACAAACCACACCCAAATAATTGTTGTAATAAAAGTACACGCAAAAACTGTGATCACTATTTCTATTTATTTATACTTATCCAATTGATAAATGTATTCCTTTTAACAATAATAGTAAACCTAACAATACAATAACAATAAATGTTATCATTATTCTTAATAATTAAAATTTTTGTCCCACTATATTAAGTCTATACCTAATCCCTTAATCTTCAAGTGTCACATTTCTGAACAAATAAGACATGGACTCTTTGTTGTGAATTCTGCGAATGGCCTCAGCCATCAAAATCGATATATCCACAGTTTTAATCTTGTGACATTGCATTTTTTGTAGTTCGTGAGGTATCGTGTTGGTGACAACAACCTCATCTATTGGAGAATCTTCAATTAGCCTCGGAGCATCTGACGACAAAAGTCCATGGGTAGCCAGAACGTAAATTTTGTAGGCCCCACGCTCTTTTAGCACTTCGGCTGCTGCCACAAACGATTGGACGTCATCAATCAAATCATCCTTTGAAATAATTGTATTAATATTTTAGCAAGCAAATAAGTTGTTTTAACTTACCACCATAATAGCTATTCTGCCACCTACGTCACCCACTACATTTATTGGTGGTTTTTCTTTAGCAATATGAATTGGCACGCCTACACCAGCTTCCATGGTACGGGAACGTGGAACTGTCGGTGGTGAGTAACGACCATCAACCTGAAAAAATATTTAGGAATTGGCTTATTTTTTTGTCCAAATTTGATTTTATGATAAAACTGTTTTAGACTAGTGCAAATAAGTTTTTTCTGGTATTCTTTTATTGAATGGTTTACTGACTCATTAGTAGGCAAAACTAATCTTAATGAACGACACTAAACTAGTAAAATTCCTTTGTCCAATCTTACCTCATCAGCATCAGATTCTTTTTGTTCTCCATGAATAACGGCAATTCCCAAACGGAGACGCTCCGCATAAGATGTAGCCTTTTTAGCTGCACTAGGATTCCTAGCTACAATAACAGCATTTCTGTAATCTGGAATACTTTCTTGGATATACTGTAATAAAAATGGACTGGCCCTCAAATTATCCACTGGACAATCAAAGAAACCTTGAATCTCTTTTTGGTGCAGATCCATAGTAATAATATGAGTCATTCCAGATTTAACCATCATTTGAGCCACCAGTTTAGTTACCACAGCCCCACGTTTACGCATTTTGCATTGCTTACTGTAGGGCAGATATGGAATTACACCCACTATTGAGTTAGCTGACGATGTTTTTAGAGCATAGGCCATAATAAGCATTTCCATTATATTGTTATTAACATCCTTAGTTCCAGTTTGTATGATGAAAATGTCCTTCCCTCGAACCGAATCTCCGATTTGAAACATAGTTTCACGGTTACTTCTGTGATATATGGCACATTGGCCCATCGATACCCCAAGTCGTTTTGTTATTAGATTGGCTAATTCTGGATGAGAATTGCCAGCAATTATGATGATGTCTGAGGTTTTTGGGGCATCCATGCCGATGCTTTTTGGTAAACGGTATCCACCAAATCTGCAAAAAGAAACATGTCTGATTATTATACAGATCTTGACTGCTCTGGTGAAAATGCACAGCTAATTGAAGATATATGTTAATTTTTGCCGATCAATTATTGTTTATTATTCAGATATTGATCTGATCCCGGAGAAGGGGTCCAAGATTGCTTTTGTCATAATATTTCCTATAGACCAGGGGAACATTTTCGAGTATATAATAAACATGGCACAGTTAAAATTATATGAGAAATGAAGCTAGGTTTGCAAGATTGTCGGAAGGGAACTCTAATGGCCGATTGCACCGTTTGCCTAAACAACGTTTAAATGATTAATCATTGTTTAACTTGAAAAATGACTTGCACCGTTCACTAATCAACGTTTAGCGAACCTTAAACATTGATTGAACTAAACGTCCAATTTTTGGTGATTAAAACCTGCATTAGACTATTCATACTTTTCAACCTCAATCCATTTGTTTGTTTTTTCTTTTTATTGTTCCATTGCTTTTACTGAATATTCTAAATTAAATTAAAATGGATTATGATTTCGATTTCTTTAAAGACGATATATTTTTAAATGATGATCATCTTCTGGACATTATTAGGACTGTTCCAACTTCCAACCCGCCAAAAAACCGTCCCAAGAACTTATTCCGAACCATTCTGTATACAAATTTCTGATTCCTACGCACAAATTTTTTTACTTTTTGCGCAGAATCCTGGCGGTAAAACAAACGGTTCTCTGCTGGGTTGGAACAAAGCTATGGGGGTCGGATTTCTCTGGAAGGTTTACCAGAGAAAAAACATTTTCAAGAGCTGGATAACCTGAAATGTTTCAGATGTTTTCTTTTCGGCTGATGAAAAATACAGTTTTGTACTTGCTGGAACTGATAGGGGATCTACCGAGGGATCTACTTAATTGGTTTTATTTTGTCTTGGTTTTTCAAATTTTACAATTTTTGTTAAACTGCATCGGAAAATGAACATTAAATTGAAAAAAACACCAGAGTTTAGTCAAGAGGTCCTAACGCAGATCGCAAAAAATAAAGACGACAAAAAATTTACAAGAACTCAAAAAACTTAGCTAGTCAATTTGTTTGACAGTTTGACATTGTCAGACTTTATAAACATATTATGGCTAAAACAACTTATTATGCATTGATCGAATCCCACTTAAGATACGGTATTGCGTTTTGGGGAAATTGTACTCAATATTTATTTAGATCAGCATTTATAATACAAAAGAGATGCATAAGATATTTGTGTGGAGCCAAATTAAGGGATCACTGCAAACCACTGTTTTTGCAAGAAAAAATTTTAACACTAAGCTGTCTCTACATCCTGGAAACCGTGTCACTCATTCACAAAAAGTACAAAAATTCATCTCACCCACACTCGTACCAAACTAGAAATTATAATAACATCCCACTCCCTATTCCAAGGACTACTTTAACGCAAAATTCCATTATTTATCGTGGAATTAAAATGTACAATAAACTTCCACATAATATTAGAAACTTAGATTCATGCAAGATATTTAGAACCAAGGTTAAGGAACTATTGGCTGAAAAGGCATACTATAGTTTGGATGAGTATTTTGATGACGAACTGTAGATGATTTTAAATTTAATTTTGTGGCATTTTTGATAGACCTTTATTTTAGGTTTGTCTGTTTTATTTATTTATTTATATATGTGTGTATTTCTGTTTTATATATTTTAGACTCATGGCTACTGTGATTGTTGTTTATTGCATGTTCCATATATACCTATATACTTTTTGATCATTTTTGACTTAATTTAGATATGTACCTTAAGTAATTTTATTTTTTAATTGGAAGATAGATATTTTAAAAGTCCATTTTATCTATATTTTATCAACATTTTTAAAATTTTAACGTTGATGTGTTATGTTTATCTTTATATTTAATATTTTGTTTTAAATTTTTTCATATTTTTTTGTTGTCGTTTCTTTTTTTTTTTGCTGTGCTTTTTTTTTACCATAGTATTTTTGCTGTGTATCTGTTATTTGCTATTTTTGCTCTTTATTTGCCTACTGTGTACTTTTTATATTTCTGCTTTGTCAATGGAACCATGTTTTTTAGACAATAAAGCATATTTTGACTTTGACTTTGATGAATGTCACTGAATGTGCCTTTGAGCATTGTGAAGATAGCCAAAACGAAGAATATTACGCTGTTGCCAAGTACTTTCTCCGTTTAACTAAACAACGTTTAGTTCTAGACTTGCACCGTATCACAAATATATAAACGTTGATTAAAAACAAATCACTGATTAGCTAATCATTTTTTACGGCGAAGACGGAACAAACGGGCATAAGCATAAACCTAAGGGCTCTTTTTTTGTAAAATAAATATGAAGTTGAAATTTGCAGTACTGCAACAGCCCCAAAATGCAATTCCATTGTTAATGTTCTGTTGTAAAATCATTGCGTTACTAAACTTAATTGAAAAATCACATTTTTGACCATTTCTCTTATCAGTGGAGCCAAAAGCAAACAAAAAACAATATGTCAACTTCCACACGCTCCTAGAAAAAATGTTGTACCTAACACGAGCGTAAAATATCTTTTCCGCACTTACGGCTTGCAAGTAATGTGTGACTCCACCAGAGAAAAATATGCGGTCCTGAGAGCTTGCAGCTTTAACTACTCTGAAAGTACTCTCAAAGCATAACAGCTAGAGAATACCTACAATATGCTGGTCAAACTCGAGACTCTCGTCTCTACAATTCCAAGAAACTTAGCACAGGCGGTGGGATGAAATGACTGGATTAAATCACCACATAAGGAGATATTGGAAAATGAAGTTTACCATATTGGTCTTAGATATGTTGAAGGATAGATTGTTGCGGTCGCACCAGATTCTTATCAAATCTAAATCGACATTAATCGTGCAAGAATTCTCCACTGTTCGCATGCCAGACAATGGACGGCACGTCAGCAAAAAGTCTAATACTTCCCCAGACCCTAAGAGAGGCTAGATCATTAATACATTAAGATCAAGAATAAAAGGGGGTTAAGGATAGAGCCCTGAGGCACACCGCAGTGATTGCTCATTTTATCCGAAAACCCGCCCTATATGAAACTACCTGCTGATGATCATTTAAGTACGACTGAAACTAATTTAGAGTCACACCTCTGAAACCATATATTTCAAACTTACAGAGCATTACAAAATGATCGACACAGTCGAAAGCCATCGACAAGTCACAAAACACCGCTGCTGAAAGGTTATTCTCATTTGTACTCAAATAAATATCTTCCAGAAGGGAGAATATCGTATCAGATGTTCTTTTGCCACTGGAAGCCAAATTGATTATCGGAGAGGAACCTGTTTAGATTGAGGAATGAAAGAACTTTATTATTAATATTATTATAGGGGTTTTTGACAGTAGGCGGAAAAACCGGTAGACTGTCATTAGTTCTTGTGCTGGGAATGTTACTTGCCAGTACACTATTTTACGGCCTATCACTAAAATATACTCCTGGACAAAATTATCGCACCACTGCTTATGGTGATGCTTATGTGCAGTGGTGTGATAATTTTGTCCAGGAATATATTTATCAAGTCTGTTCTTAAAGGCATTCAGACTAGGGGAGGTTACAACCTCGTCAGGGAGCTGATTCCACTGTTGCACCACTCGGTTTGTGAAAAAATTCTTCCTGGAAAGTCTTTAACCAGTTTCTCAATAGGAATAATTTATTGTATCACCAAGCGCACGAAAACCCCTATCATTAAGATGGAGTAATAGTTTAATGGACATGTCATCATAGCCCAAGGAATTTGATACATTCTTGTCCGTCAGATACTCCACGGGATTGACCCCAGAATCGAGCTGGGACAAAATAGCTCCAGCTATAGAGCAAAACAAAATATTTAAATTGTTAGGAGACAGGTTGGATGAAGACACCTGGGGACAAGAAATTGTGGTCAAACTCGTCTACATTTATAAAATGAAACTTATTTTCTTCCGTTTTGCTCATCAGCAGTATAGTGACGAGTGCCTCCATGAATAAAATTCCATCTGCAAAATTCAGAAATAACGTTATAATTGCGTGAGTAAATGGCTTCGTCAAGGTTAATTTTTACCCTTTCCAGAAAAACCACTTTCTCAAGAGATTTAAATTGAAGCACATAAGAGACCCATAGTTCCATATTTTTTCTAGGGCAAAATAGGTAAGTATCTCTTTCCAACTCATTGATTCTCACTTACCTCAAAGAGAGTTATTCAATAAAATAGAAATATACGAGCTGTCCCATTTAAAAAAACTTTGATTTATATCCACCACAGGGTGTCCCATTGAAGATGGGAATTGTGGTTATCTGCTAAACTCGTAGAAGTAGAATTTTTTTGATTTCACATTCCCAGGCCAATTTTTATGAAAAATCAAATACCGCAAACATCAAGTCTCTATCTCTAGCTCTATCTATTTTCGTTTTGAAGATACAGGGTGAAACTGGAAATTTTCACTTTTTAAAGGTAGTAGTTAAATTATTATCTCGTGTATGAAAAAAGACACATGGTGAATAATGAATAAAACCAAATATAATGTGATTTACAAAGGTTCTCATGAAAAGTTGTAAATACATACTATAATACCCATATTACATCTGTGTATTTTTCCGTGTATTTATTCATGTAGTTCAAGGAGCCAACTGTTGCAACTGCCAATTGTTTTTCATAATGCTGATTTATGTTGCGTTTGAAGTTTTCCGGTTGTCAGCCTGAACTACATCAACTACATGAATAAATTCACGGAAAAATACACAGATGTAATACGGGCATAATAATATAGGCAAATTACAAAATAATATGGACCAATCATATCACTGGAAAGGAAAGTTAATTTTATGCACATTCTAAAAATTTACAGGGTATCCCAATTAAAAAAGATAAAGTTTGTGTCATATCTCTTAAACGGTAATAATAATCTGGAAAAACATTTCATCACGCCACTGAAATCTATGTTGAAAATTGCGTCAGATACAAATTTCACCTTTTTGTTAAGTATCTTGGTTCATACGCGAGATAATTAGGTACAGGGTGATTGTCTATATTTTGCACCCACACCTATCTCACCTGTTTGAAGAGATACCCAGAAATATCCAAATGTGAAAGTTTTCAATGATGTTAATTACAAGTAAACAGGGTGTGTCACAAACGTGTAGCGAAGCAAAATTATATTTTTTTAAATGGAAAACCCCATATTATATTATTGTCCCATTAGATTATCCTTTCGAACCTGATTCCAAATATACTTGGTTTTTTAGGTTTATTCCTTATAGTTCAGGAAAAAATAGGACAAAAAGGGGCGGAATAATTGCATTTTTTATTGAAAAAGGTGAACTATAGAGACCACCAGCAAAATATAAAGGTAATAATACATTCATGTAAAAAATCCATATTATTTCTTCAAAATGGGATATTCAGAGGCTGGACTATGAAGAATAAACCTAAAATACCTAGTATGTTTGGAATCAGGTTTGAAAGCTAATCCAATGGGACAATAAATATACGGGGTTTTCCATTTAAAAAATTATAACTTTGCTTCGCCGCACTTTTGTGACACACCCTGTATACTTGTAACTAACATCATTGAAAACTTTCTGATATTACCTACAACTTTCACCTTTGACATTTCTGGGTATCTCTTCAAACAAGTGAGATAAATGTGGGTGCAAAATATAGACAATCACCCGGTACTACATACCTTCAAAAAGTGAAAATAACCATTTTCACCCTGTATCTCCAGAATGGAAAGAGATAGAGACCTACTGTTTGCGGCATTTGATTTATCATGAAAAATTGACCTAAGAATGTGAAATCAAAAAAAGTGGTGCACGAAAGCACAAATAAATAGTCCACCACACAATGAAATCTATAAATAGCAGTTCAAATATTTCACCTCCTTTTTCGCCCCCTTCTTACCCATCCACCACCTTATCCAAAATTAATAGGGTTCATGACATGCTAATATAGGATTTTTGTGCCAAATTTGGTTAAAATCCGTTAAGGCGTTCTTAATACCCTAGTAATACCCTATGGATATGGTGGAATAAAAATTCTACCTCTATGAGTTTAGCAGATAACTCCAATTCCCATCTTCAATGAGACACCCTGTACAGTGTGTTCCATTTTGGTTGTACAGGGTGTTTCAAATTTGAGCCACATCATTAGGATCTCGGAAACAGTGAGAGATACATGGTTGATTGAATTAGGGCAAAGTTGCGTAATTTGACACATTTAGTTCTTATGGAAAGTGCCAATAATATAAATTTTGTGACATTTTTTTTTTAAGTATCACTTTAAATGAAGTAAAGAAAAAATTAAAACAATTTTGCAAAATTTCGATTTTTTCCGGATACCTATCTCTAGAAGTATTCGGAATATCACAAATATCAAAGCGGGTTTTTGTTAAGCATCAAACTAAGCAACTTTGCCCCAATTTAACCAACCCTCCTGTATCTGTCACCGCTTCCGAGATCCCAATGAGATGGCTCGAATTTGAAACACCCTGTACATAAGGGATATTTCAGTTGCTATTGGAGTTGGAAGGATGCGGTTTTCGCGAACGTGGGCTACTTTTCTGTCAAACGAAAGATGCCGTCAACAAAATTGTCATCGTTTGTTTTTCAGATACAAAGTGTTTTTGAAAATGTTGCATTTTGGGACACCCCTTGTATCGCCGTTCTCTCATAAGTGATGGAAAAGGTGACAACGGGAATTCTTATAGATCTTTCTTTGTACATAGATTCCAGTGGCGAAGTCTTTTTTTTTTTTTCTAGAAGTGATAGTTTTTTAATTATGAACCAAAAATAGGTTTTTCCAGATGAAACACCATGTATATTAATAGCTCATTGGATAGATCTGCTTTTGCTGATTTCAATGATATAAATATCGATAGGTTTATCTCTATCATGTCTGTTTTTGTCATAAAATACAATGTGTCAGAAAAGGACTTTGCATCCGTGAGGAAAATGAGAAAGGTTTCTTTCTTACACATTGTTTCTTATGACAAAAACAGATAAAAATTGTTTGCTCGAAAACTGTTAGAGATAAATTTTACATCATGGAAATCAGCATAATCAGAGCTATCCAATAAGTTCACAATATACAGGGTGTCCCAAAAAGATACTGACAAAAGTAAATCAATGCAGAGATTGCACCGTCGCCGTCGGGTCATTGACTGAGAAGTTTAGTCTACGAAACACCTGTTTGTAATGAGGAAGATCTGTTAGCAAGGATACTGTGGCGAGTTGTACCCATGTAGAAGCTATTCCCGGAATAATCCAAAGGGTTCGCGAGTCAATGATCCGACGGTGCAATCTTTGCATTGAAGTAAATAGTCAACATTTTGAACAATTATTGTTAACCATAATTTATTTGTTAATAAAGCAAAATTAATAAGTAAACAGTGATTCAATTATTGCGAAGAATAAAACTACCAAACAGTTTTTTTGCTCTACAGCCTAAATGGCTCATTTGCGGACCTATGTTTATGTAAACAAAAATGCTTGTTTTGATGTCCCTTACTACCCCTTAAAGTTTGTCGGTATCTTTTTGGGACACCCTTTATAGGGTGTCTTATTTGAAAAAAAGTATACATACATGGTTCATAGTTTAAAATGTTACTTGGAAGACAATTACATAGCATACACACCCACCTCAAACAAAAGAGCTACGACGTAAATCTCTGATTATTTTTAAATTGGAATTGGATTTTTTTTTATCTCAAATTTGACAAGCCATGCAGCATTTTTTACATGTTGCCAATAGGTTTTTGTTATCTTGAGTATATCCTATTCACAATCCGTAGTCCAAAGGTAAAGGTAAATTTATCACATTCCCCTATCAAATAGCACTGAAAGGTGATAAATTTTACCTTTAGACATCAGATTGTGAATAGATAATAGGTACCAACGTAGGTACAGTCCGTTTCACGAGGATTTATACTTCTGACATCGAAGACATCATAACTTGAAAAAACAGGGTTGTCGTAGATTAGATTAATTTATATGACACTTTCAATTTTTTTTACAATTAAACGTGTCGAGTGTTTTCACCATTTTTTCCACTTTTTTCAGATCGGTGCTTGTTGCTGGTGCAGATCGGCGCCGACTTTTTATCGGAATGATTTTTTAGTTCTTGGTCGCTGGTCGGAGCTGGACTGGCATGGATAATGGATGTCGAATTACTGATTTCTGCGATTTTTCAAAAAAATGCATTGTGGGACAAACAACTTAAGTTCCACAGCAACAGGAATATAGTGCAGAAGAAGGAATAAATGGCGATATTCACCACAAAGTTTTCGTTCACGATTTACTGGATGTATACCTTGTTCCGTGCATTGCATCATCCTTAGGAATGTATGACGGTTCCATCAATGAAAAGTTTTCATCTGAAGATGAACTAGATATTTTTGTAGTAAGGAAATTGCATCTAAACTGGCCAAAAACCGTCGTTCCTTATGTACTAGTGAGATGACTTGTAGGCGCTGATTTGGAAATAGGCACTGATCAACCTGCTTTCTTTGTGTGCGTACCCTAATGAACCAGAACCATAATGCGGCCTCAGAAATATGCACTTCCAAGCAATTTTCAAAAGGGAAGAGATCCAGCTAAGGAACAATGGCTAGAACAGGCAGGACTATGACAGGCCAAGGATCTATTGGGCAACTAACTATGTAACTGAACTGCTGAGGTTTCTCTCAGAGCAATGCAGACTTAAGGCATTCCTGCGGAAATTGGGGTTGGAAGAAAGCCTGTAGATTCTGTGCAGATGGAGAGGAGACGCCTTATCACCTACTGAAATGCTATGCCATTACGTTCAAGGATGAAGAATCTGGAACAGTCCTTATACTGGGAGAAATTTTTCTGGAACGACTTGACATCCTAAGAGTCCTTTAGGATTTAGGATTATGAGGGGCTGTTGCACAGGAGAGGAAACTGCACACAGCTGAACACAATAAAACTTGACTCAGTAGGTACTGGGTACTTAACTGTCTCACTGCCTATGGTAGGTAATGAATATTTAATCAAGAATGTTGCTCTGAATGTAGGTTATTCCAAAATGTTTCAGTACACCTATTTTCATCTTGATTTTTATCATATTATAGTAAGGCTTTACTAGACTATTCCCTGATTTGCCAATTACTTCATTCAGTTTTATCCTATGGTTTTTGTAACATAATAAACAGCTTGCTTGATAAATTAACTGTTCATGTCATCTCAGATTATAGCAAGAATGAAATTATTGATAATGAAATGGGAGCAACGGGAGCATGTTTGCTTTTAACCTAATTGATAAATATTTACTCTACTAGTGGCACTGGTACAAATATTGTCGAATTATGACTATATTTACAAGTATACGATACCTATTTTTCGAAAAATTAAACATTTTTTAGGTTTTTTTCAACACTATTCACTACTTGTTATCTACAATGCAATAAAATAATGCAAATGCAATGAAGTAGGAGGGTGCCAGGTATATAAATAAACATTTCCTACCTGTTAGCTGCTTTTTAATTTCCCGTGTATGTTTTTGAGTATTTCTTCGAAACCTTGTGTTCTTCCGGAAATCTATTGATTGGAATGAATGTGAAATGTGCGAAGCGAAGCGGTTGCAGCACGATAAGCAATCTATCCGTTATCAAGAGGAATTTTTTCAATTTATTGAAAACAAGAAATATAAATTGATTTTTTTGGAGTGCTAAGTGCGAAGCGAAATGAAAGCGCTATAATGTTGAGTCAGTCAGAGCGACGTCATTAGTCAAAACGATCAAAACTAAAAAAAAATGGTGCACCAATAAGGGGCGAGTTCAGGAATGACACAATCAGTGTGAGTGTGACACCGGTGCGACGCACTAGCCGTACATAAATGCTATAGGCACACCGAGTGCGCGCACTCTGTGCCGTTCAGAAAGTACTTTAGGCGCGCTCCAGGTGTCGCACCGGTCACACCATAATTTTTTGGTGTGGCTGCGGTGTGATTGTGTCTTTATGTCAACAATGTCAACCATTCCTCCCATAATCTCAATAATCCCACCAAATATAAACAAAACACAAATAAGAATTAAAGTTTTTCCTTCAAATTAAAAAAAATGAACAACAAAAAAAAGTAATCCTAATAGATTTGGTGAAATTTTTGAGGAGATCCTCGATTGGTCACACCAAGCGTTCAGAAATTCATACGAAAGTTGTCGCCTATAGCCTAGTACTCATAGCAGTCATAGCTGCGAAATTCGCATTTATTCGACATTGCGTTGACAATTTGACGTTTTATGCGTGTATCAAACGTCAAATTGTCGAAGCAATGTCAAAAAAATGCGAATTTGGCAGTTATGAGTACTAGGCTTAAGAAGTGTCATTTTAGTCACACCATAAAGGGCGCGTTTGGGTTCACGCTCGGTGCACTCAGAGCTTGCACTTTTGTCTCTCTTCCGTTATTTTTGAAGCTCCGACAACGCTTGATTGTGTTTGGTTTGACATATTTTGAGCGCTCACAGCGAGCTCGATAAACTCCGAGTTTGTGGAGTGGGCAGCGCTGGAGCGTGCATGCGCAGATCAGATGTGTTTAATCTGTCTGTATAACGTAAACTATTTTCCATGATAAGATAAATAAACAATCCTGAATTTTAACATATACTTTTTAGGTGGATAGTTTTAGCTATTTTGTTTAAATGTTAACAATCAAATAGCTAGTAAATTCTGCATAATTGTTCACTTTTAATTAAATTTCCTTCGATAGTCCTCATCACTGGTATTATTGAACTGAACATATTTTTCCAAGGGAAAGAACTTGACAGTCTCGAGTGTTTAGGTTCGTTTTATTGTTTATGTAGCACTAAATTTTCTACAGAATACAAACGAAAATAGGGCCGTTGAAAATGATCAACTAAAATACAAAACAAACGAGAAAACTCTAGTGCAAATGCGGAATGCGGGCTCGGAATCCAAAAAATATATGCTAAGAAAAATAAGCAATAATCAGCTGATCGCTCAACCCAGCATTTTTGCACAAGTTTATCTAGCTTAACACAGTGTACTCCCTGTGACGTCACGTTACTCCGTAAGCGCTCTGCTCGCTCGGCCGAGCGTCAACCCAAACACGCCCAAAATCGCACTCACAAGTGACTCACACCCGGAGTGCGTTCAAAGACGGCAATGCTAATACCAAAACCTACTTTTCCCCTTCTACCGGCAATACCAAATCTGATGTGAATTTGCTGGAACGCCAAATACCGTTTCTCAATTAAACAATCCAAACCACGTGACATTCAAGATGGCGTGGCGTCCACACATGGACGAAAAAACACAAAAAAAATCTGGTTTCTGCCCAACTCAATAGTTTACGTACCTACAAATATTTTATTGAATAATCAAAATCAAAGCTGCAAGCAAAACTCGAAGCAAAATAATTGAAATATGCATGAAAACACATATTCAAAACTAACTTGCTGGCCGCCACGCCATATTGAATTTGGTCTCGTCCAATCAAAATTCGTATAACCATTTCTAGACTCAGTTAAAAGCACCTCCAAAAGTTACTTTACCGCGGCCGATTCTGAACGTGTAAAGCCAACCGTTTTTGGCACGCTGGAGCCGAACTTGAACGCAATATGCTAATTTTGGCTCGGCTTTGGGGTGGATTTTCATGCATCCGTTTGTCCGACGAAAGATGTCCGTTTAACATTCTATTCTGACATAATCGTATATAAATATGTCAAAATAGAAGACTTTACGGACATATTTCGACGGAAAAACGGATGCATGAAAATCCACCCTTAGCCGTTTTTGAACGCAGCCCCGGTGTGTTATTTCTGAACTCGCCCTTAGTAGTAGCGCAGGGCCGAGTTCAGAAATCACGCAAAGGGTGCGAGCAGAGCTGGGCAGGGCTTGAGTGCTTTGTGCTTGCGAAAGTGCTTGAAGCCCTTTGAGGGCTTGAAAGCCCTGTGCTTCAAGCCCTTTTATAGATTTGTAATTGGGGCTTGCAAAGTCAATTACTTTAGAAAAGTGCTTGGTAATTTGTAATTGAAAAAAGTAATTCAAGCCCTTTCAATGAGCTTCAATTACTTTTAGAGGGCTTGAAGCACTTTTGGGAGCTTGAAGCCCTTTGAAAGGGCTTGAAGCACTTTAAGAGGGCTTGAAGCACTTTTGGGAGCTTGAAGCACTTTGAAAGGGCTTGAAGCACTTTAAAAGGGCTTGAAGCACTTTGAAAGGAATTTGAATTGACCATCACTCAACCTATCCCCCACTTGAAAATTTTCGATCGTGTTTTGTCCCTTAATTTTTTTTTCCATTATTTGAACTTGAACCGTCTTATGTCTTTTCTCTCTTAACAATGGAGGTTTTGGGCTTGAGCTTAGAATGGAATTTAAAAAAAAATAATGAACTTATTATTCAAATAAATAATTAATTTATATTGGTAACCTATTTAACTTTATCACTGGATTTTTTCCACTTTTCCCCATTGAACATTTTCAAAACCTTAAAATTGAATTACCATGTAGTACCCCAAGTACCCCAGAACTACATCTCAAAAAAAAACATACTACTGCTACTCTGTGAAATGTAAAGTTCGTCTCTACTATACCAATTCTGTGTGATGAGTGTACGCGGTAGCTTATGCCACTTTGAGAATTTTATTACAAATTCAAAGTGCTTTAGGCACATTTAAAGAGCTTCAAGCACATTTAAAGAGCTTGAAGCACATTTAAAGAGCTTGAAGCCCTTTTCAAGGCACCCCCAGCACTTTTGATGTGCTTCAAGCACTTTTCAAATCACTTTGAGGGCTTTGTGCTTGTGAAGCACTTTTGAAAATAAAAAGGAATTTGTGCTTGAAATTGAAGCACTTTGATAGAGGGCTTAGTGCTTCAAGATCTTTTACTGAGGGCTTTGCCCAGCTCTGGGTGCGAGTGCGATTTTATGGGTGTGCCTGAATTGACAATTGGCCATTAGGCCCATAGCACCGTCCACCGTCAATCTGCGGCACCGTCTAACATTTTTGAACAGGTAGCGCGTCGCACCGGTGTCACACTCACACTAGTCTGGATGTGTCATTCCTGAACTCGCCCCAGCTTTTCGAAAGGAATAAGCGCGGAACGCTCCGCGCCCCGGAGCTGTTCCGGAGGCGGACCTCCTCCTAGGTGTTAAACGAATACAACTATGAAGCAGGAACTTTTAATGCTTGCACTCTGTTCCTTTCCTACGTCAATGGTAACAATAGGTCTGTTCGCAGAGAAATCACAAACCAGTCGGAGCGAATTTCATTGGTTGAAACTAGTTTTCTGACTGTTTCTGTTTGTTTTCAACCAATGAAGTTCGCTCTGACTGGTTTGTGATTGCTGTGCGAACAGCCCTATTAATACACACTACTACACAGTACACAAGATTGCTTATCGGTCTCGTTTTTGGATTGCGGTCATATGTATACCACCATTGACGACGTCAGTAACTACGTCGTCAACTGTTTGCGCCCGCGGTCGTAGGTGGTCTACCTCAATGTAGGTGGTAGATATCCACTTAGTAGATATCAACTGTCAGTACTGAATTTACTGGGGGCCGTTCCGATATTATTTTCAGTACACAGGGGCGAGTTCAGGAATGACACACTCAGTGTGAGTGTGACACCGGTGCGACGCACTAGCCGTTCATAAATGCTATAAGCACACCTAGTGCGCGCACTCTGTTCCGTTCAGAAAGTACTTCGGGCGCGCTCCAGGTGTCGCACCGGTCACACCATAATTTTTGGTGTGGTTGCAGTGTGATTGTGTCTTTATGTCAACAATGTCAACCATTCCTCCCATAATCCCAATAATCCCACCAAATATAAACAAAACACAAATAAGAATTAAAGTTTTTTCTTCACATTAAAAAAATTAACAACAAAAAAAAAACAATCTTAATAGATTTGGTGAAATTTTTGAGGAGGTGCTCGATTGGTCACACCAAGCGTTCAGAAATTCATACGAAAGTTGTCGCCTAAGAATTGTCATTTTAGTCACACCCATAAAATCGCACTCACACCCGGTGTGTTATTTCTGAACTCGCCCCTGATTCAGTACTGAATAACATTTTGAATGCGCCAGTGACGTCATTAATATTTACTGGACGGGGTTTCTGGAATCACGATTCGACACACGACTCGAAAACGAGACGATTTTTTCCGACGATCCTAGGTTGGAATTATGCCTTTCGAGACGGTATCGAGTTGCGTCTCGTTGTCGAGCCGTGTGTCGAATCGTGATTTTAGAATCTTTCCTCCCTGCTGTACCTTTTATCCAGTAAAACAGTACGCTGTTGAAATCGGAACGGCAAATGACAGTAAAATCAGCACAGTAAAAATGCTCTGTGGTAAAACCCAGTACTGGCAGTTGGTAACGGAACATAGCCTTGATCTACACAGGCCTTAAAGCCCAATTTATATGCCGCTTTCCAGTATGGGGCGTTGAGCTCCCGAGCTGTACGTACCCGTCAACCTGTCAGTTGTCACATCCGTGGGTGGCTATTTATTTGTTTGTTTCTTGTTATATCTCGGGCAGGGATGTGCGTCTACACGTAGACTTTCATTGTCTACTTTACGTGTAGATAATGTAGACAATGTAGACAACGTGTCAACAATGTAAAATAATATAAATGACGTTTAATTCTAACCTCACACTTTCCTTTTTTTAAATTATTTTTATTTTATTATTGATTTTCCTGATATTTTA